ATCAGGGTCTGGAGGAAGCAGGGGCTGGCCCTTGAGGACGCTGACTCTTCGCCATGGCCATGAAGTCGCATGAGCCATTATCCTCCCCACCTCTCTCCTCACCACCTGTAAACCACCTGCGGACAAGAAGCAGAGAGAGGAAGAGGGTATCTGAGATGCTGAGCATTTTCATTAAAGACACACTGGATATTGCTACAGGGATTTTTTTAATTGGATGGAACATCTTATTAAATTAGTTTTAAATTGCTGGGTGGAGTCTGCCTAATTCATTATAGATTTGAGGAAGCTACAGTTTCTGTGCATCTCCGAATGCTAGTGTATCCGTCAGAATCAGGCGGGTTGGCTTCAGTGGCAAACAGCCCCTAATTATTAGTGCCTTAAAACAACAGAAGTTTGTTTCTTATCAAGCTACGTTTTATTACAGTTTGGCTAAGACTCTGCTCCAGGTCACCTCCATACTGAGATCCAGGCTGACAGGGAAACTTGCTGTGGCGAGGCATTGCTGTCTCTTAAAGCTTCAGCCCAGAGGCGACGCACGACAGACACACTCCTCACATTTATTGGTCAGAGCGGGTCACACGGCCATGCCTGAATTTGAGAGAGCGGACGGTAGAATTCTCCTGCAGAGCATTCTGAATATTTGGGAACGGTTGTACCCATCAGAGGCACAACGTATTTATTTGCAGCGTATTTATTTATTCTCCAGCATCGCCTTCACGTAGGGTTCTTTTGAGCTGCGGCAATTTATTTGTCAATTTATAAAGACCGAGACACTTGTAGGGAGGGAAACTCTCGGAGAAGAAGGAAGGAAAAGACCGCAGCTCTCAAATATGTACTTCGAGGAGCAAAGATGCCGTCTGGTTCTTCCAGGTACGGCGAGCAAAACAGTTCATTTCTGACCTGCCCGGCGTCATCATTGGAATCTGAGCCACTGCACGTGCCTCCTCTGTCTCCTTCGTTAATTTCTCAGGTCAGTTACTAACTCAGTCAGACAGAGGGACCGGCGGTGGTTACAACTGGCCACACGTCGGAGGGGGGCGGTCTCCCCTCCGTTTCTGCCCTGGACGTCCCTACTGCTGAGGACTTCCTGTTCCAGGCCTTGACAGGTGGCAGCCTGCCATTCAGTTTCTGGCCCGGAGACCCACCGCGGTTCTTGGCCTCTGCTCTCCTGGGGTCTGCGGCAGGGCGCCCCGGCCCCTTCCTCCGTGATGCCCTGGAAAGCGTGCCTGTCCGTGTCCCCCCTTGAGGACACGCGAATCCCATTCCGGCCGCATCTTCCCTGAGGGCTCCCTGGATGGGCTGTCTCGATTTTCCCACCTGCGTTGGTAAAGCAGCCGCGCTCCAGCCTGCCGCTCTCCAAACAGCCAGACGCCCCTCCCACGGGCTCTTTTTTATTTTAAAAAACAGCTTTATTGAGATATCTTTGACCTAAGGTGTGCATCTCCATCTTTTGACACATGTGCGCATGGTGACAAGATCACCACCATCCAGCTCATTCACAGTCCATCACTCTACACAGTTGCCCGGGGTCTGGGTCGTCCCAGATGAAGAGGGCACTGGGCACCAAGACCCACCTTCCTCCACCGGTCACAGAGCAGGGGGCGGGCAGAGGCCTTGAGCACAGGTGTCACTGCTTGGCTCTGCTTTGCCCTCCAGGGCCCGGGCGGTGAGCGTAAAAAAAAGAAACCATTCTCCTGGCTGTCTCACGTGTCCCCGCCTGCCTTTGTCTGATGTCTGGAGGCGTGTCCTTTGCTTTTCCGAGTCTAGTAGGTATAGGCGGTGACAAGGACACAGAATGTAGTTCGCTGCCTTAATGTCCAGCTCTGCCGAAATGTCACATTGTACGTGTCATCCAGCTGTGGAGGCTTCTGTTTGCAGGTTTTTTCCAAGGGCGTGGTGTTACATTTTTGTAAAATGAGTGCATAGAGACTTAAATCCAGAGGCCCTCGCAGATGCTGTTTCAACACTGTCATCTTGACATACGTGGGTCGGAAATCCCACTCCTTGGAGGTCACGGCTGGAATCCGCGGCTCTCTGGGTGTGGCTGACGGGCCTGGGGGCCAACATGCGGGAATCGATTTGCGTTTTAGAGGAGTGAATGGGGGGAGGGGGAGGACGGAAAGGAATAGAGGGGAAATCCTGCAGGCTGGCAGAGATCGTTCCAGTGGTCTGGCCCCTTTGGCCCTGTGTGAGAATCTGCTGGAAAGAAAAGCTAGGTCTCACGGAGGACTTGGTGAGACTCTAGGGCACAAGTAACTTATTTTATCGCCGATATAGTCCTGCCAGCTGGATCCTGGGGACTTCCACAGGTATCTGAATGAGACTGTGTGTGTGCGTGTGTGTGTGCGTGTAGCACCGAAGTCCTACACTGGCAAGTGCAGCAAGAATCAAGGAATTATAGGCTATTACCAATAGCAAGACCTCATTTGAACTGACCGGCTAGTGAGGCCAGGAAACGTTTTCGTCAGAGACCAGCCTCGCCACCAAAAACAACAACAAAAAAACCCATAACCTGGCCGGGAATGGCAGAGGTGATCTTTTTTCACAAAGGGTTTTGTCGAGGGTTTGGCTGACATGCAGAACTGCACATGTCTGAATCACACAGTTGGATAAGCTTTGACATGTATCCTACCTGCAAAACAATCGAGACAATGCCCCTTGTATTCCTCACTCCTTCCTGTCCCTTCCTGGTCCCTCCCTGACAACCTGCTTTTTGTCACTGAACATCAGTTCACATTTTCTCAAACTTTCTATAAAACAAATGGAATCAAACAGTAACTACTCTTTTTAGAAAACCGTAAGACCGTATAACGCAAAACGTATCAAGTTAACCGTTTTTAAGTGTACGAGTTATGGCATTAAGGACGTTCATCTTGTTTGGCCACCGTCACCACCGTCCGTCTCCAGAACGCTTTTCATCTTGCAAAACTGAAGCTCTGTCCCCATTAAACACTAACTCCTCGTCCCCCGCCCTCTGCAGCCCCGGCGACCACTATTATTTCTGTCTTTAAGATTTCGACGCCCCTGAGTATCTCATACATGTAGAGTCAGACAATACTTGCCATTTTGTGATTGGCTTATTTCGTTAGCATGATGTCCTCGAGGTTATATCTGTTCTGTAGCATGTTTCAAAATTTCCTTCCTTTTGAAGGCTGAATGATATTCCATTGCGTGTGTAGACCAAGTCCTGTTTATCCACTCATCTGTTGATGAATGAATGTCTTGCTTTCATGCTTCAGCTATCATGAATGATGCTGCTGTTAAGTGTAAACATTTGCAGAGCTCGTCACTCCCAGGAGCTACTGGCGGTCAACCACTGCTCTCTTCGCTGGAACCTGCACAGGTTTCTGGAGCCCGGAGCCATCGCTCGCTGATGCAGATGCCGTTAGAAGCAGATACAAACAAAGGATTATGTCTTCTCTTTTTCCACCTGCTTTTCAAACTCTTTTCAGACTGGCCCTTGGCCAAACCCAGCCGGAATCGAGGGCGGGGTCATCTGGGAAGTGTAAATTGCAACGTCGCAGGCCCTAAGCGTAGAGGACAGGGCACGGAGGGACAGGACTGCCCCCACGCCTCTGCCGTTGCTTTCGGCTGGTGAAGGATGCCACTTTCACAATCAATCAGTTTGCTCTAACGCATTTATTCCACCTAAGATGCCAAAGATTTCAAACGCTTAATAACTTCTTTCGTTCGGTCCTGTTCTTTCAAGGTAATCTAAAGAGCTTAAACCAAATTTTCTCTCGGGTCTAATTAGAAATGGAAAGTACTTAGCCATCTGCCTGGCCTGACTGCTTAAAGGTCTATTTTTATTCACTTATTTTTTTTCTCAATGAATTATTCTCTTTGTGGTGTTTTCATAAGATTTTGTCATTTAATCCTTGTATAATTTTTTCCTGGTTGTTCTGCTCAATGTACCGCACAATATTTTTCTTTCGTAGTTACTGATGGAAACATATCTGCCAGGGAACCCCAAACGCCAGATGTAGGAACTGGCAGTTGCACATTCTAACTAACTACGGATATAAATGTTGAATGGATTCATGTAGGAATAAATATTATCTGGCAATCAGTTTCGAGGCAAAATTCAGAGCCTTTCACAGAGAAACGTCCTACACACCAAGCTCAGAGAATTTGGAGAAAAGCCTCATCAGTGGACACTGATGGGACCAGGAGGTAAAGCTAGAACTTTAGGGGGACTCTCAGGGTGTCCGCTGTCTTCTGTCTGCTGCTTAACTGACAGAGGCGACTCTCCAGGTCGAATGTAGTAAGAGACCATTCTTCCCACAAATATTACCTGCTTATTATGGGCACAGTACTAAGATAGGCTATGTGGAATTCTACAAAGTACAACAAGCTCAACATTTTCTTGGGAGGGAGGAAAAATGCGAAGATACAAAAAGTTAATTGACACGGTCCAGTCATTGTGAAAACAGGATGGAGTTTTCTCAAAAATTAAAAAAGAAAAAAGAACTACCATGTCATCCAGCAATCTCACTTCTGAGTGCAGATGCAGAGGAAAGGAAATTAGTGTCTTGAGGATAGATCCACATGCCCACGTCCATCATAGCACCGTTCGCAATAGTCAAGATACGGAAGCATCCGAGGTGTCTATCCACAGACGAATAGATAAAGAAAACGTGGCATATACATTCAGCTGCATATTATTCAGCCTCAAAGCAAAAAGAAAAGGAAATTGTCGTATGCACCAACATGGGTGAAACTGGGGGACATTATGCTAAGCGAGATAAGCCAGTCACAGGACAAATATTACGAGTTCCCACTTCTATGAGGACTTCGAAAAAGTCAGACTCATAGAATCGGAGAGCAGAATGGTGGCTACGGGGGCTGGGGCGAGGGGACACTGAGCGGTGTCGGTCAAGGAGCACAAAGTTCCGTTTGGACAGGACGAGTAAGTTCTGGAGGTCCAGTGTGCAGCATGGAGGCAGCAGTTAATCATCCTGTCCCGTGCCCTGGAAACTCGCCGAGAGAGCGAAGCTTACCTGCTCTCACGCACAGAGGCGACTGCGTGAGGTGGCGGATGTGTTCATCAGCTCGATCGCGGTGATCATTACGCAATGTGTATCTGCATCGAAACGTCACGTCGCACACCTTAAATACATGCAATTTAAGTCTGGCAGTTATGCCCCGATAAACCTGGGTGCGGGGAGAAAGTTCACTGATGATCCCCGACCGCTCTCCGATCCAGACGAGGACGGGACGGCACTGTGGTGGCCCATGGCAGCGCACTCAGGCAGGGGGACCTGAAATGGCCTTCTGCTAACGGCTCTGGGAAGACGGACAGGCGTGGAACGAGGGGACGCCCAGTGTGCAGAGCGCCGCACGGAAGGCAGTGGGGGTGCGGTGGGCCAGACGGGGCTGCACAGGTGGGTCGGGTGCACCTTAGGGAAGGTGTGAGTGAAACTGGGGGACATTACGCTAAGCGAGATAAGCCAGTCACAGGACACATACCGAAGAGCTGGTGGAGTCTTCCAACCCTGCGAACAAGAGATTTCTGGAGGAGGGGGAGGAATCACGGACAGAGAGCCGTGGGCATCTGCTCTTTCCTCACGGATCCCAGCCCAGGGCTCACCGCCGGGCACAAAGCGATACCCCAGACCGTGCACCCACAGGCGTGCCCAGAGGAGCCGATTTTCCCAGCCCGCTTCAGCGCTTTCCCCTCTGCATCCCCCGGGGCTGCTGGTGCCTGCTTTTCCGTATGGGGATCCGAATGCCTCTGAGCCTCCGCCCAGCTCAGCGCGCCCAGCCCGACTCCATCCCAGCCCTTGGCGCCGCTTCTCGGGCACCGAGCCCAGTTTTGCTTGGACAGCCCGGCACATCGTCAGCGGGAGAACATCGAAGAAGTCTCTCTGCCCCCTTAGAAATTCCCATACGCCAGTCCTCACGCGTCTTTTGTCCACAGTTCCTCTCCTGTTCCTGTGACAGCTTCGACCTAGCTCTTTCTAAGCTGTAGAAGGGTGTGACGGATGTGGAGATTCAGGGTGTTTAATCAGAAGAACACTTTCTCATAGGCCACAGAGAAAAGTACGTTCACTTCCCCTACATTGGTTCTTAGGAACAATCCAGATTTCCGTGGGTGGCATCATGCTCCCTGCCCCCCACAGCCGGGGAGAGAAGCCGATTGCTCTCTCGTTCCAGGGGGGTGATGTGTGGGGCAGACCTGAGGACGTAACACCGGCCTACATCCCCTGGCCCCAGTGCGGGGTGCACTGGGGGCCCAGTTTCAGCTGATAAGACCGGAAAAGCCATTTCCTGAGACGCCCTAGGAAAGAAGCTCTTTTTTATTTCTAGACATAGTGAGCTGATAAAACATTCTGGAATATTTACAGCCTGTTTGCCACCATGAAGTTTAAGCTGCTTCTTGGATAAAGCTGACATCGCCAGAAACAGAAGAAATAGGAAAACAACCAAAAAACTGGGTTCTTGGTAAGGTTATTGAGCTACAAAGGAAAGCACCAGTGGGGAGTACCCAGTTATGCGAACACTGGGTTTGAACTTTTTATTATTTGCTACTGAGAATCCTAAGCGATACATATGCTAATACTGTGCTCGATCTTTCTTATCTTGTGACCACAGATTTCTTCTCGTCGGTACCCCATCTCGGTAGCCTTGCCGCAAAGGTGTGTTTCTCAGTACTGCAGCAGGTGAAAGGAGCTGAGCTAAGCAGGCCTCTGGCGTGAGGCTGTCAGCTTCCCCGCCTCGCGTTAGGCTGCGTTTACTCTTTGCCGTCGCTGTGATGTCCGAGGCCCAAATTTCCCCTCGTGTCCTTCTTTCTGTCTCCCGTTTTCTCTGGGGTTCCCCAGAGACTTCTTCTTACATAGGGGCTGAGACGTGTGGCTCCTCCGGCCCTGTTCGCATGCAGGTGGGGGTGAGCGGGTTGTTCGGTGATTGGGGGCGAGGTCTCGGTCTTTTAGTGAGCCCGTGGCCACAGGTGGGGTAGGGAGCCTAGGGGGGCAGGAGCGGGGTACTTCCCTCCCCCACATATGCATGGCTAGAGTGGGCTGGAGTTGGGTATTTCCTGCCCCTCTGGCTGGTTAGGCTACGGGTTCCCTAAGCGAGGAAAACAGTTTCTCTTGAGGCCAGGCCTTGTTGAGGAGGACAGAATGCTCCGGTGTGTTTCGAAATGGCTCCTTAACCCTCTGGCTGCTGACGGCCTGGCGAGGTGGGGGTAGCGGGGAGGTCCTCTGCCCTTCACCATGAGAACCTGGTACACTTCCTGCAGACGAGACTCATGAAGGTGGGAAAGGGGGGCCTCCGTGACTGCGCCCCCTGGAGTTTTTAACTCTTAGACTTGTCCACCCAGCCTCCGGCAACCCCTCGCCAGCCCTGCCTCGGCGCCTGCTCCTGGGCTTCTGCTCTGGGATGCTCTGCTTCTCCGTACCCGCCTGTCTGGACTGCTTGTCAACTTGGGGACAGAGGTTTGCCTTGTGACTTCTATTCCCTGATGGATCTGGGAAGAGTTGTTGATTTTCAGTTCGTTCGGGGTTTTTGTTGTTGTTAGGAGGGGAATTATAGCTTCCAAATTCCTGATATGCCAGCTCGGAAACAGGACGTCATGGGGATTAGTTTTAATCAAGAACACATTCTTGCTTCAAAGCCCAGTTCTTTGAAAATTACAAGCCAACAGCACAATCGATACAAAGATCTATCCCTGCATGTTGTAGGTAGGTCAGGAAACCCACAACGAATTAAACTGGCCGTGAGGAATACATGTTGGGGGGTGTCAAACACAAGCCCTATATGAAAAGCACTGAGAGAAATTTAGCTGAGGGAATGCTAGCCATCAAAAACCAAAACCGACCCAAGGCAGCCCTAGTAACTTATCGGAACCGGCGTTCATTTTAGTTTTTGGAAAACAAAATTCAGGGTCTCGCGATAACCCGCATAACAGAATACTGGTAAGTCAGTCACCGTACAAACTTGAGGACGACCCTGGCCCTCCACTGTGAGATGAGGACCCTTTTTTGAGAATCCTAGATGGATCTAGCAGTGCTCAAATATTTTGGTCTCAGGACCTTGTTTGATTGTTTGTTTTAACTGAGGCGAAATTCACGTAGCCTACAATGAACCATTATGGAGGGTACAGTTCAGTGGCATTTAGTGTATTCACGATGCTGTTGTGTTCTTCACTCCAGAAAAACACCTGTACCCACTCAGTAATCACTCTCGCCAGGCCCTGGTAACCCCGACTTTTTTTCTACTTCTATGGAGCCGCCCGTTCTGGATATGTCATCGAAAAGGGATCGTACAACGGGCGAACTTTTGTATCTGGCTCTCACTTATCATAATGTTTCTGAGGCTCGTCTACACTGTATTTTCCTCCGCACCCCATTCCTTTTTGTGGCTGAACAGGATCGCGGTGCGTGGGGTTCTCTGTACCCCACTTAGCCAGTTACCCCGCTGATGGGCGTTTGGGTTGCTTCTACCTCTTGTCTGCCTGGCTGTAATGCTCTTCTAAATCGCCACGTACAAGTTTCTGTGCAGACACAGGCTTTCCTCTCTCTAGGGTGCATACCGAGGAGTCGGACTGCTGTCATGCGGTGACTCTGTCTGACTTTTTGAGGAACCGCCACCCTGTTCTCCACAGTGGCTGCGCCATTTTTGCATTCCCACCGGCCACGAATGAGGGTTCCTCTTTCTCTGTCCTTGTCGACAGTGACCTTCTTTCTCTCTTTTTCTCTTCCTTCCTCCCTCCCTCCCTTCCTTATATTTTTCGTTTAAGGTCGTCTTAGTGGGTACGACAGGGCATCTCACAGTGGTTTCGATGGACACTTCTGAAGTGACCCGGGATCATGTGCTCGTTAGCTATTTGTCAAGACCTCGGTGTGTTCTTAAAAAGTGCTGCGGATCCCAAAGAGCTTTCCGCCCCCCCTTTTTTTTTAATTTAGTTACATCTACAATACGTACTGTATTTAGACACTAAAACCAAGAAATCGAAAAATATTATTTACCAATTCTTTTGCAGACGACAGTAGTAAACTCATTGTATGTTAACATCAGAGGGATGACATATGTAGTTTCTAGAAAACACCATATATTTGTAAGAGAGCGAGAGTAAAAAAGGTAAATAAACATCTTGATCTCATAGACCTCCCGCCCCCAAAATGACTAAGGATGATTCAATGCAATTTTACTCAAGTAAGAAAAATAAGATAAAAAAAAAAAAATTCTGATCTGAGATTCCTCTCAACTTGAGTTTAACAGGGAAACATGGGGTTGGGTCAGGGTGTGGGGGGGATGTCGGCAATGGAATCTGAGTTGTACCTGGTTGGTCACAGGAAGGACAGCAAATGGCTCTTTAATCTGGATATGGACCTGCTGACACCCGCCCATCTTTTTAGAACACTTTCCTGCCTTGTCAGACATGAAAACTGTCTGCTGGTTTGAACTTTTCATTCATCTCCTTAGTCGCATGATTTTGTTCAACCGGGGTATCCGAGTCAGCAGACGTGAGAAGCGACATCTCTGGGAAGAGGCTGCACAAGGACTTCTGCTGAAACCCCAGCTCCCGAAGCTGATTTTCCAGGGGTTGTGGAGGGTCGTGGGGTTGGAGAGGTAGAGCCCACTTGTTCTCAAAGCGTGAGACCCGGACCAGAACCATCAGCTTCACCTAAACTTGTGAGAAACGCAAAGTCTCAGGCCCGCCCCCGACCTACTGACTCAGAATCTGTGGGAATGGGCCCGGCCATCTGTGCTGTCACGAGACCTCCAGGTGACTCTGGTTTGCCAAACAGTTTGCTCACAGTTTGAGGGCCACTGGCGTGACCTTTCCCCAGTCACTTCCTGTCAGTACGATCTCCCTCCCCACTCCTCGCTCCCTCCTTCCTCCTTTCCTTCCTCCCAGAAGCATCGAATGCATCGATCCCTTACCGGCGTTTGGAAATGCTTATTCGGACATGTACACATGTGCATATCATGTGTCTGTCTGTAAACATCAAATTCGTGCAGGCCAAATGCAGAGTGTCACTTACAGCGACCCCAAAGAAACTAACTCTTAAAGAAGCCTATTGGTCATGAATAGGTGAAGCTTTTTAATAGGTATAATTTATTACCTGAGACCTTGTTTATCCTATTTCCGACATTAACTCCAGTAAAATCCTTTCAAACACTGAAGCTCTACGATTCTTGAGGGCTTGGCTGCCCCGTTTTGGTGTTATACAAAGATAATTCTGCCATGGCCTCTGTTCTTCAGAAGGTTCAGGGGGAGAGGGCTAGTTTATAGGACCGAGCTAAGGACAAAAGCTTCCTTTAAGTCCCAGCCCAGCGTTCCTGGAGGGCTCTCACTCAGAGATGTGACTAGGAGAACGGGCTAGTCCCTGGAGGCAGGGAAGGCATCCCCGTGGACCAAGGGACAGATCCCGTTACGCAGGGTCCAGTGCGTGTGTGAGTGAGAAACGATTTCTCTCTCTTGATTCTTGATCCTGTTAGTCTACTGCAGTGGTTCTCAAAGTTTGGTCCCTGGGACAGCGGCATCAGTGTCACCTGGGAATTTACTAGAAATATACATTTTCAGCCCTCCCCC